ATATCAGACACACCAGTCATGTGGTCAGAAGCGCCAAAGTCTATGATCCAAGGACTGCAAGTGAGGGACAATAAACAAGTGGAAGCAATACCTGACTGGCAAAAGTAGCAGTGGAGAAAGGTAGTACAGCCTGTTGCCGGGACAGGAATTGAGCATACTCCTCGTATAATAGTAACCAACCTAATGTTTTGCTTGGTTTCCATAAGTGCAACAAATAGAAAAAAAAAATACTAGATCATTGAACCAGACAAGAATTACCTACTGCACTGCTAAACTAGAGAAGAAAAGTTTGCTGGATCACCAAACCGGGCTAGAGAACCTAACTGGAGCGCTGAACTAGACTAGAGAAGTCCACTAGACCATTGAACTGAACCAAATAAGTCCACTAGACCGCTAAACCAGACCAAAAAAGTCTACTAGACCGCTGAACCAGACTAGAAAAGTGCATTGGACCACTGAACCGGAGACAAAACAGATGGATCCTGCCTGAACCGGTCTAAAACTGACTAAATTGGGCCTAAACTGGTCTAAAACTAACTGAACCGGGCCTGAACCGATTTAAAATTGACTAACCGGTCTAAACTAACTGAACCGAGCCTGAACTGAACTTGAGTCGGTCTGGTCTGAGGCTACTAGATTTAAGTCTAGATCCGGGTACAGATCTGGATCTAGACTCAATCGTCTTCTTCACCAAAGAACAAATCCAAATGCTCCTCCTTCAACGTCGACTTCCCTCCTTCAACGTCGATTGCTCCTTTAATATCGACGATAGTGAACACCCAACGCCACCGACGCAAATCACTGACACAGAACTAGAAGCCACCACCACCACTAAGAATAATCAGTAGATTACACAATCGACGCAGACCACGAATGTTGACCACACCAATAGAATACCACCAACACTGGATAAGACAACCAACGTCAACCACACCAGTCGACTACCACCACCACCAGACAAGACAACCACAATAAATAGCGCAACACAACTACAACCCAAAATTAATATTTGTATCATTTTAGCTCTGACACCATGTTAAGTGTAGAACATTAACATAATATTAGAGAGAAACAGAGAGAGGTTAAAAACTTAACCAAACTCTCATACATCACTTGTATTTATAGTTAACTCACAATAATAAGAATTATACATACACTCTCTTACTAGTAACAATTTACACATACTACCCTAATACTCTTAACAATCTCAAGCCAACCACCTTGGTTGTAACTCAAGTTGACCTCCATGGTTACACCTGAAGGCTCTTTCGCCTCAAGCCAACTTCCTTGTTTACAACTCAAGCTGACCTCCATGTTTGCACCTAAAGCTAACCTCCTTAGTTGCACCTCAAGTCGATCTCCTTGGTTGCACTTCAGTCCAACCCTCCTTGGTTGCACCTTAGTCCAACCTTCCTTGGCTGCATCTCAGGCCAACATCTGTGGTTGCACTTCAAGTAAACCTCCGTGGTTGCACCTAAAGTTGACCTCATTGGTTTCACTTAAAGGCAACCTCTATGGTTGTACCTCAAGCCAACCTTTGTGGTTGCACCTCAAGCCAACATCTATGATTATTTTTCAAGCCAACCTTCATGGCTTTCTACCTCAAGCCAACATCTGTGATTGCATTTCAATCCAACCTCCGTGGTTGTTCCTTAAGGCTATATGGCCTCCATGCAACTTCCATGGTTGCCCTTTAAAGCTATTTTGCCTCCATGCAACCTATACGGCTGTCCTTTAGGTTACTTCACCTCCATGAAACCTCTAAGGATGTCCTCTAAGTTACCCAACCTTCGACAGAGGACCAACAACTTCTATAATGGCTCATCATGTAACTTAGCCTTTCGTAAGGATTTGTCATCTCTGAGCATTAAAACCCTCAACTCTTGAGGACCTTCTCCCTCCAATCAGAACGGGAGCACTTGTTTTTGAAGACTCAAACCACCAATACTAAGGAACTTCTTCATGATCTCAAGAATCAAGAATTCACTCTCAGGCCATAGAACATCCTCCCAAACTGGATATAACCCATCAATCCTGGCTACTTGAGAGCTCCTCCTCTGCATATATTCTTCTTGACTATGTCCAAAGATCATAAAGTAATGATCGTAGACAACACTCTTTACTTAACATTTTATCTCTTAGCCTTAACAAGTTCCTCTTGACGCTCGCCAGCTTGAGTCTCTACCTCAATACCCTTCTTCTTTAAAAAGGCATTCTTCACTCTGAAATTCGTAAGTTGTTTCTCAAGCATGTATGTCTTGACCCTATCATACTCAGCTTGACTCTCAAGTAACTCTTATCGCTTGACTAGATCATGAGCAATAAAAGTCCCCTATAAGAGCAACAATGAATGTTTATCCTTTCCTTCTATCAATGAAGTCCTAACCTATGAACCAAGTGAAGGAACACAAAGGGACGTAAGTGAAGAGGAAAAGAGAGAGAAGAAAGCCCTAAACTCCTTAGGCAATTGGAGTCATAGCTTCCTAGGCAAAAGAAGTTCAAACTCTTCAAAAACATGCCTCAATTAATTTGATCAATTAAAAGAGGCATGGGGGAAAATTGTGAGGCATAAAGTAACCCCATTTGGCCTTCCTTGTGTCGACCGGTAGGCACAATCCACTCACCCCTCATTTGTTTAACCAAGGCAAAGAGGATGACATTCACCTTGCTAGTGTCAACGACATAAGTCGCCAAGGCATTGGGTCACTCTAAGGCAGCCACCTAGGCATTATCATTGAAAAATAATGTTGACTAGAAAGCACTCGACTTGTTAAGAGACTCAATGAGGGCTTCTTTTTCTTAACCGCTTCCATTGGTCGATTCCAACTCAGCTAAGGATTGACTTGGGACCAAGAGACCTAACAAAACGCTACTCCAATTATCTAGGAGCTGGTGAGAATGGATTCAGACCTAGAGTCCCAATCAAACTCTACCCCATCCTATAGGACCTGGTGATGAGGTTGATTTAATCAAGTAAAAGTTCAAGTTCCTTTGGGACACATCTCTCTACCGCTATAAATAAAGGCCCGGGTAGGTAATGAAATTTTTATCCTAGCCTATTCACTTAGTAATTCTCTCTGACTTGTGATCTAACTTAAGCATCAGAGTCACTTAGGTCACCTCTAGTCATCGATTCACCTAGGCATTTTCTTGTCTTGCAGGTTCACCAAGGTTTCTCTGCACTCATATGAGGTGGTGACCCTTTGCATGGATTTGTTCTCACACACTATAAAAAATAATTATCATAGTGAGGTTTTGTTTTGTTGATAAACATCCAAAAATTTAATTACATGTCAAGAAAAAAAATTTTGTTTCTCAAATTAGTCCAATAACACGTCCTATGCTTCCAATTAGTACATCATTATAGTAGAAGACTTCCTGGATGTCATTAAGGGTGTATTCAAAAATAACACGTACTATGGGGCAAAACCTTTGAGGCAAGCCTACATTAATTGTAAATGGGAACATGGAAAACGAAAATGGTTTGAGAATGGAGACCTACTCATAGTAAGAATCATGTGTAAATAGTAGGAAACTTTTTCACCTTGGGAAAAGTTGCATAAAGAAGTCGGCTAAGTATAAATAAAGGCATTCCTTGTATGATTTTCTATTTTCCTATGGATTTTCTACCCAATGGGAAAGGGTTAGAGACCAAAGGGTCAAAGCCAATGGATTTTTCTCCCTTCTATTGTGTCTATCTATGTGAATCCATTATTGATTTTCATGGTTGTTGATGATGCAAGAATCATAGGAGTTGGAGTTTGATGTGTGCTGAGTTATGAAGTGTGGTGTGTGTGGCATGTACGATCGACCATGAACCAAAGGTTTAAGTGGTTTGCCAAATTAAATAGCTCGCCTAGGCCATTGTCAATGAAGCCTTTTGCTCCTGTGTCCATTGTATTGCTTGAGGAAGAAGAAAAAAGTGATTATAGAGGGTTTAGTCCATGTTTCAGTAATGGGTTTCTTTTATATATGCAAGCAAATATTTTTTTCTTTATTCAAGATGGTGTGGTCTCCTCAATATGTTGGAATCATTTGGGAAATATTTGGCCATTAGAGGAAATCTTTGCCAATGTCCATGTGGGCTTCTAGAAGAACTGAGGTGGCATTCTTCAGGCGGTAACTTCCTACCAAAGGTAGGATTGACTTGTTGATCTCTTCTTTATCTTCTAATAGCTTGATTTGAGCTGGTCTGATTGTAACCAATTTGGTTGGATATCATTTGGTAATTTGGGAGTTGGTAACTTGTGTTTGATGGCCTATGTCATTTTACCTAGTTGAGGTCGATAATTCTGAATTGTAATGAATTAAGCTAAGCTGTGATTTATGGTATCATCAATTGCCCCAATCCCGAGCTTGGCCAGTCTTATGTTGGCTTTAGGTTAGGCTTGATCTACCTACAATGTGATATGAACATTTGGTTGAGGATGCTCAATCGTGCAAGTGTCAAGCATACCTGGTGCCTCAATCTTTGAGATGCTCTCATCATGTGCGTACACATGGCCACAATATTAGATGCATTTATTGAACTACCAAAATCCAAAGGTATTTGGACTCTTTATCTTACTATAGTGAGACACTTAGCCTTTTCACCTCCTTCCATTATAAAAAGAGAGAGAGGCCGTGAAAGTGATCTAAAGTTCATCCCTTTGGCATCTATGTCATCGTCTTCTTGGTAGATCAACCTTTTCCTTAGGTACATCCCTCTCATGCTCTTATACCCTAGATTGAATTGATCCTTGGTGGTGGTCCGTACAGTTTTGCTTTGTGGTTCTTAGGTTTTGTTATCTTATAAGCAATCATAGTTCCCTAGAGTTTCTCCCTTGTTTACCACCATAGCTAGGCTTTTCCTGACTCGACACTAAAGATTTGACCTTGGGGCCATTGAAGATTATTCTTTGAATTTTCCCTAATTGTATCGAGGCCTTCAGTGTGGGAGTCCTATAGCTAGGGTCGTGTCTAATTCTACCTCCTCTGTTACTCACTCCTTTGTATCTCCAATGTTTGGAGATGGTAATAAGGATAAAGAGGTAGGCTCCTCTCCTAAAGAGAGAGACCTTCCTGTAGAAGTCGTCCTTGAGGGACAACTTCCCCTAATCACTTTCAAAGCTGAGAAGGAAATCCCAGGGTTTCCTAAAGAGATACCCTTGTCAAAGTCTTCAATTTGTTTAAGAGGAAATGAGGACCTTCATGGGGTTCTTCTTCTTCATCTAGTCTCAAAAAATGGAGAGGTTCTCAGGACCAGTCAAATCTAACTTATTGTGTGTTCTCTATTTAGAGTCATATTGATGATGATCGAGCTCAGACCATTAGGGAGCAATATGACTTCCCTAATGATGCAACACATTCTAGACATCAAGGATATGTAACATCCATCATTCTGGGATGGTTTGTTTCTTTGAGTCCATTTTTTAGTTGGGGTTAAGGTTTCCTATGCACCCCTTTATCTGAGAAGCCCTCGTCCACGATAACCTATACCCCGCTAAGGTATCTCCAAATAGTTAGGGCCTCTACTCGTCCATTGGCAAGAAAGTAGCGTCAAGTCTCTCCCAACAGTTACTAAGCTTGCCCATCTTTTCTAGTTGAAGTCTTCTGTAGCCCCAAGATTTCTTTACTTTGAAGAGGGTTAAAACAAAAACCTTAGAGTCTGGCCTACCCACTACTGATAAACGGTAGGAGGAGGATTTATTTTTTGTGTTAGGGGATAAGTAGAAGTTTGGGATGTTCTTACTAATGCTCATAATTCTTACATCCATTATTAAGCTTTGACTACTTGGGATCTCCATCTGACCTTAATTTGGTTATTTTTACAGTGTATTGACCTAGTATTTCTGTTGCCAAGTGCTTGATTTGTTTCCCTTGCTTCCCACATGAACCCAATTATGTGTATGGCTCATAATGAAGGGTGAGTGTCACTCTCACTCAAGCTTGTGCAAAAAGTAGAGAAATTGTGTGTGGATGAACAAAAATGTGTGTGAATATGAAAAAATGCTCCCCAAGCATAGAGAGATTTATAATGTTGTGTTTTAACTCAAAAAAAGTTCTAAGGTAGTCTCGTTAGGGAAGGAAAGGTCAAGTATTTTTGAAAGTGATTTGTGAAAGGTAAAAATAGAAAATATTGTGATTTGAAGTTTGGTGATTTGTGTTTTAAGAAATATGCAAGTAAAAAGGGGGTTGGCTAATCCACAGAGTTCATTCTAATGGGCATGTCAAATCAATTCATTTCACTCTAACAATGGGGCCTAGGTGTTCGACTGATTCGTAGGAATCAAGAGATGGATGTAGTTGCATGGACTAGAGCTTACCCTGTGACAGGTCTACGGTGTATCAAAAGCCTACAATCACCTTCATCCGCACTCAACCTAGTCAAACCAACACTACAAGGAAGAGTGAAAGAGAATTGATTCCACATTAATATGTGTATATGGCTTATGAGAGTAGGTGAGTGTCACTCTCTCTTGGGTTTGATACTAGAAATAGGAAAAACGTGTTTATGGATGAAAATGTGTGTGTGTGCAAAAGCGCTCCCCAAACGTATAGAGACTTACAATGTCATGTTTTACTTGGAATTTAGTATTCCAATGTTGTCTCCTTAGGGAAGGAATGTCAAATTGTGGTGAAGGTGATTTTGCAAAGAAATGAAAAGTGTAAAATCTTGTGAGTGTTGTGTTTTGGTGGGTGGATTTTTTGATAAAAATGCAATGAACACAAGGTTGGCTAATCTGAAGAGGTTATTCTATTGGGAATGCCAAATCAACTCAACTTATTCTACCAATGGTGTCTCGGTGCTTGATTGATTCGTAGGAACTAGGGGACTAATATGGAGATGCAAACTCAAGCATAGCCCATGACAAATCTATGGTGTATCAAGAGGTCACAACCATGTATGCACTCAATCTAGCAAACCAAACACTTTATACTACAAGAAATAATGGAGGAGAGGTTATTTAGCATACCCAAGAGGAAATCTCCCTTGGATTAGCTAACTAAAAACTTAGCTACTCATAATACATAATACATGCAAGAACATACACAATGTAAAGAGACATGGTGAAGAAATGAGATTAAAACTTGTATTAATGCAAAGAGAAGTTAAACTACAAAGATAAGTTCATTTCATACCCAAAAGTAAAGCTTGGAAGGAAAACCCAAATGAAGACATGGAAAACACAAGAACATGTAGCTAAACTTGAATACACTTGGAATAAAGAAGATTAAAGTGCAAGAGGTAAAGATTAGAAGCGATTTAAAGCTTACTACAACTGAAATGGAGAAGGAAATGCAAAAACCTAACTTTCGCTCTCTAAAATTTCATCTTCTTCCTTGAGCTTCTCTCTCTAAAACTATGTGTGTGGATGAATAATTGGCAAAGCATGGTCAAAATTCATCCATAACCCTCCCCAATGTCTGTGCGACTAAATTCCTATCATTGGAGGGTCTTTTGGGGACTGTTACAAGCAACCACAGGCCTTGCCTTTCTTTTCAATGCTTCCCCTAACCACTCTCTTTCTCCCTCTTCCTCTTTCAAGTTTTTTCTTCCAAAGTTTGGTTTTAGGTGTAAGAAACCATGCTTGTATGTAGAATGTGTCAAGGCATGTGTGGGAGAAGTAGAAGTGCGCCCACGAAGTAGTTGGAGTTGAGAATGCAAGCTTTTAGCATTTCTGGGCAAAACCTACCGGTAGAATAATCTTAAAACTTACCAGTACGTTTTTCTCAGTAGGCAAAATCTACCGATAGGTTTTTGGAAGGGGCAACAGTAGAATAATTCCAGTGCACTAAACCTACCGGTAGGTTTTGATGAACATCCACCGATAGGTTTTCACTTGTTTTGACTTTTTCTTGATTTCTTGATATGCTAAGCCACCCGTTAAGCCTACCCTTCTTCTCCATTGTCTTTAAGCACTTGATGGAAGCTTAACACACGCCATTTCATACTCTTTGCCTACAATCACACAAAAACTTCATTTTTTGTTAGATTAAATGCAATTTTCCCCATTTTCTCCACAAAAGCAAGTATAAAATGGGTGCCAAGATATAAATGATGTGCAATATTCTATGCTCATCACACATGCCCAAGAGTAAATCCCTCTCGGATTAGTCAACTAGAGGTTTAGTTACACATGTTAGATGCAAGAGTAAACATGGTAATGAAGTTAACTTGAACTTGTATTAATGTAGGAAAATGTTTAGACTACAAGGGAAATGGTATTCATACTTAAGATGTAGAGCTTGAAGAGAACAACACCCAAATGCAACAATGAAATAAGAAAACCCTAGCCAAACTTAATACAACTTCAAATAAATGAGATTAAAGTGCAAAAGAGAAGGATTACATGTAAAATGGAGCTTACAAGAATAAAAATGGTGAAGGAAAAAGTAAAAACCTAGCTTCCTCTCTCTAGAACCATCATCTTCTTCCTTGGATCTTCTCTCTCTAAAAGCTTAACAATGTCAAAAAGTCTTCCCCAATTTCGTCCATCATCTTCTCTCTATCCTTAAGTGTGCAGAGGTCAGAAGCTTTGGGAAGAGGTTCACCAAAAAGGCTTCCAAAAATTTAGACAAAAGCATGGTCCCTTTCCTTTTCCAATCATTCCCTTTTTCCTTTCTCCTATCATTTCCCGATTCCACTCCTTCATGCATAAAGGTTGATCGCAAAGATTAGACTACAAGGTAAATGATATTCATACTTAAGATGTAGAGCTTGAAGAGAACAATGCCCAAATGCAACAATGAAACAAGAAAACCCTAGCCAAACTTAATATAACTTCAAATAAATGAGATTAAAGTGAAAAAAAGAAGGATTACATGTAAAATGGAGCTTACAAGAATAAAAAATGATGAAGGAAAATGTAAAAACCTAGCTTCCTCTCTCTAGAACCATCATCTTTTTCCTTGGACCTTCTCTTTCTAAAAGCTTAACAATGTCAAAAAGTCTTCCCCAATTTCGTCCATCATCCTATCTCTGTCCTTGAGTGTGAAGAGGTCAGAAGCTTTGGGAACAGGTTCACCAAAAAGGCTTCCAAAAATTTAGACAAAAGCATGGTCCCTTTCCTTTTCCAATCATTCCCTTTTTCTCTCTCCTCTCATTTCCCCTTTCCACTCCTTCACGCATACAGGCTCAATGCAGAGCCTAGAAGACTGAGGTAGAGTATTGAAGTGGTCAAAATCATCATTAGAATAGTATGAGTGGCCCCCTTAGCTTATGGAATCGTTTGGAAGTGAACTGGAATTTCTGGGTTTTGGGTATCAATACCAAATGATGAGGTATTGGTACCTCGACAGGTAGAGGGCTTAGGTACCGGTATCTAGTGATGGGTTACTAGTACCTACTTCATTTCTTTGATTTTGAATATCTAAGGCACAAAGGCAAGGTATTGGTACCTAAATTCCAGAAGATTGAAGTACCGGTAGCTAGTGATGGGGTACTAGTACCTACTTCATCTCTTCATTTCAACAAGATGAGGTCCAAGTGCCAGGTACTGGTATCTAATGTTATATGTACCGGTACCTAAATTCCAGTAAGCTTTGGTACTGGTACCTGGTGACAAGTACCAGTACCTACTCTACCTTATTTGAATTTTTAGCATTTTGATATCCTAAGCTATTCATCTTGATTTCCTTTCTTTCCCATTATCCCTAACCACATTGTAAGGTGATTAACACCTGCACTTACCATCCAACCACCTGCAATCAAGTAATTCTCCATCAATCTCTTATTTAACCTAATTTCCCACAATTCATTACAAAAATAAGTTAAAATGGATGCAATGAGGTTGTTAAATGTTCAATGTTCCACACTCATTACCAAGCTACTCTAAGTAATCTAAGCCAAGGAGCACAACTCGAGGTCCTTCAAGGAGCTTGTGATGCTTGAGAATTTGGTGAAGTACAAATTGGGCCCCCTTTTTAAGGAAGCCCCTACTACTACGTAGGTCATTCTTAAATTTCCTCCTTGTTCCTTATTTTAATCGTCCTAATCCCTTTTTCTATGTTCGTAGAATCTGCTAACATGGCTCCTAAAAAGTCATTAGTGTGAAGGCCATGGAGGAGATGAAGTAAAAATTGCTGGTGAAGAGGGTTAACCTTCTTGCATCCAAGAGGTCTGAGGTGGTTGACCCTCCTCCTTTAGAGGAGAAATGAACTCTTGCTCTAGCTGAAAAGCCACAATTGATTGAGTAGGATCTTCACGAGGTGACCCATCCTAAGGGTAACTTGGATCATGTTGATAGGT